GAGAATCGCGCAGTAGCCATGAGGCTGGAACAGCCGTGACGAAAAGCTGCGTTAAACCGTCCTGATTGTAGCCAATAGCATCCAGATTCGCTGATGAGCATGTCGTTTTGAGCGACTAGCGGAAAATATCGACCAGTTTTTGGGAACGATGCAGTAAGACATGTCAAGAATATGAAACGTTTCGTTTAATCCAATTTTCAAATTAATCCATAGCATTATTGATACTAATATTTCGGCATTATTTGAAAGGATCACTAGCGTAGTTCCATTCATTGTGCATTAAATATCCATTTATTTCCCACAAAAATTTCCCGCATCTGTGATAAATGGAATCGTCCCCACACAATTGTGCTTGACTCCACCAGCTTTAATCACTATGGAAATAAACTATCAAAATTCGAAATTAACTTGCTGTTGAAAAGATCTGCAATCAGATAGCAGTGTTACAAATGCACATAAATAAATAAATGAAAAACATAATTTGATAACATCTGCAATATATCATCGACACCACACTGCACACGTCTGTCTATTCATTCGACTGATCAATATTTCACGGAAGTTATCTAGCAATAAGCCACACATCATAGCTGTTCATAGTCTAGTCTGTTCATAGAGCAATATCAGTATACAATGCAATGCAACATTCACCAATAAACAGAAGCGATAAAAAGTTACGTATGAAAATTTATTATTAAATGAGATGAAATTTTAAGGCGTTGGAGTTGATGTGAATGATGAGCACAGCAAAAGAATAAGAGATGGATACAAGCAACGCTGTCATTCCTTCGGCCGTTGATCACTGTCGTATGCTGATACTGATTCGTCAATTCGGATACCGTTCACCGACAACCTTCAATCGAATTCTAGAACGACTTCAGCGCATTCAGTCCCTTCAAGGTCAACTTTCATTCTCATTTCTCGATCTTTTCTTTTTTTGAATCATTATCGTCATCTTCTTGCATCGCTTTCATTATCTTCAGTCTCCGATAATCCCAAAAGAGTGATCGTCGCAAATTTTACATCATCAGTCAATGCTTCTCTTCTCAAATTCGGTGAACTTCAGGTGAGTTTTTATACCATTATTCATTCATTTCTCCTCTGTTCATATTTCTTTTTTTTNTTGGTTTTATTCTGTTGCGATAAATACTTATCGTTACATATTCACGATTACATTCGATGATATGACTATGAAAAACAGTCAAATATCAGAGAACAGTAAGAGTTGCTGTGTGTGAAAGTTTTAATGTGTTGAAGGCGCATCGTCGTGTGATTGGTTTAATAGGTATAATTCATTGCAATAAAGCGCCGAATGAATGTGAACAAGCGTCGACATCAGCCTTAAATGGTGACGTTGATGAGACGTCATCATCAGACGCTAGTACCGATACTCATGCAACTCGACGTGCATCTTCGTCTCGAAGGCAGTCATGTCTGTCTTCGCTGAGCTTGCCCCAGATCAAGCAACTTTATGACTCCAGCAAGGTTCATCCCCTTTATTCGTTCGTTCGTTCGTCTTAATCTCCAGTCTTATTGCCACTTCAGCTATTGTTCATTTCTCCATTGTTAAACAGCCTTATTGAAGGAGGAGTATTCGTCAACTTTAGTGGACAGTCGATGTATCACGATTGGATACGCCAATGTAAGAAGTTTTTCAATACTTCATCAATGAAGATTCATATCAAATTACCGTATTCTTAGAGTACTTTTTAGTCATTTTACTAACACACTCTTTCACATGTGATGCTCGAGGAATTTTTTGAGGATGTGCTTTCGGATACGTGGTCGTCTCGTGAACTTTTGTCGTTCAATAGTCTGGAGGAATCAGATTCCTTAGAGAATGGCATTCGTGAATTTATGCGTTCAATTTTCTTTGTTATTGAAAGTCGACGGTTGGATTTATCGTTCGAAAAAGTTGAGAATCCACCGTGTCCAGCATTGCCAGATGAGCAGAAATATCGAATGGGACTCGAGAATAAAACCAGTAAACAGTACAAGTAAGCCACTTTGTTTGTATTAGATTAGCGTTATTTTTGCTGTTTCATCACAGCGATTGATTCGAACGGGAGAGTAGCATTTGATTGCTGAATGATGAGTCGTGAACGAATTAGTTATAAACCAGGTGATCGAAAGGAGGTGAGAATATGAAATGAGATGCGTATTGACTCCACTTCAGACGTAAATGCGTTGGTCGTCTGCGTAAGCAAGTCGCCGACTACACACTGATGACTGGCTTACCCACACTGGCACTTGATGCGTATCAGGCATCCATCGATCTGCTGAAACAGTGCAATGATCTTCTTTGGTTAGCTGGTATGTTTTCCGTGCATTTCATTCACATCTTCATCATGCACCTCATTCTGAATATTATGAATAGTCATTCAAGGAATTACGGTATTTACGGTAGTCAGTATCGAAAAATTAATTCAGTTACGCCATATATCATATTTTAAATGTTGGTTTTATTTTACGTGCATCAGCATATTCTTCGTGTATAATTACATATGAGTATTTTTTGTGGCTATTACAACGCAAGCGAATTCAGGCTTGCAATTGCATTTTGAGTTATGATGAATTGCAGCGGCATACGAGGGCTGGGCATGTTCAGCGATGATAATCAAATACGATTTGACTGGTGAAGTGATACCGACGAGCAGTATGCAACGTGTCTCTTCGATGACCACCGATCAGATGCGTAGCTTACACGATTTGAGTCAGCAGCACTCACTTGGGTCCGTTCAGTTTAGTGCCCTCTGACAACGATCGATCTGATCTCATTTTCAGTATCGGAATCATGCCACTTGTTAAACACTGCAAGTGTTTCATGAATTCTATGGTTCAGTTCGTTCGTGATTTGCAATCACAACTATTGTATATCACCACTTAATGCTATTGTTTTTGGTTAACTTTAAATGCTTGATTCAACGTTCTTGTTCTAATGAATGAACAGTGAGAGTCACTCTAAGGAGATAATGAATTTCAAAAAGCGCATGGCCCACATCTCGAAAAGATGTCTTAAAAATCGAAAGAAAAAAAGCAAACTTTAAGAAAGTTCACTTTTGAAAGTTTATATAACATGTTGCTGAATCAAGTTGTTAAATTTGAGATTTTTAAAGTCTAGCCGTTCGAAATGGTACTTTATTGACTGGAAGCAGCAGATTTGAAAATCCACTGAAAAAAATTAGATTGGACGGTCGTCGTAGGCGAAAAAAATTTGACTCAGCGACCTTTCAAATAAATTTTTTTGATGCGATATTTCGTGCATAGTATTATTAGAGGNTCGTGCATAGTATTATTAGAGGGAACCACATCTTTTTGAGTGAAAATATTCATAATGAGAGACTATAATTGCGCTGGATTATATTTAGGCTCAGGTTCTCACCGGGACTGAGGTTTATCTTTTAAAACGTGAATGGTTCTGTCTGATATGTGTGTTGAACAAGTAGATGGTTCCTTGCTATGAGCGTGAGCCTGGTCTTGAGCCTAAATATAATCCAACACAACGACGGCCTTTCATTGTTGCCAGTTTTTGGATGGGGGGAATTTCTGAAATCCCAAAATCGAGCACTGTAATTTTGGGAATGCATAGGCAGCTGAACGAGTTCGTCCGGTGACCTGTAGACTAATTTTTTGAGGCGAAATTCCATCTGGCTTGTTCTCAGACCAGAAGACAACTTGATGAAAGATGTGACCATGGAAATTCCTAATTTCGGAAAAAATCTCTTCGTAATTTACATCGACGTATATGTTTAGTGTATCGCTGGGCCATCAACGTCATCTCTCCGATACGGAACAAAAGACGATCAACTCATTAACACAAATTGGGG